AAGCAGCCTAAGCTACCTAGTATGTACTGACTGTAATTCTCAGTTTGCAGAATTCTGCATGGAATCTGGCATTTTGCACAGAATTCAGATTTCTGAGTATCGCAGGTTTCATCTTTGATAAAGATGATAGCTTTCATGAATGTGTGAAGATGCATCTATGAACAAGTAGACAGTCTTTGTAATAAAAATCTCTAGTCTTCCGGGATGGCATGTCCATGCTCTGCATGGGACACTTTCCATCAGAGATCCCTCCCCCCCCCGTGGCCATGCAGGACTCCACTTTTGGAGGAGACTTCCACACAATGTTGTGCTCATTTGGAGCACTTGGGGCTCCTGTACTTTTCTCCTTTGAGCTGGAGCAAAAAATGACCACCTTTTCTCCAGCCTCTAGAGGAAATTACATAGTGGCTGCAGATGAAGAGTCTGCGTGGATGTTCTTCTTGCCGTCAATCAAGAGAGGGGGTGGAGCTACGATCTGAGCACCATCCTTCGCAGATGTTCATGTTTGTACTTGAAGCTTGCAAGTTTTGGGTTGCTATAAATACTGCACATGATTGCAGTCCTGCATCCTGTTTGGAAGTGACCTCATCTACTTTCTGTTGGCGGTTAGCAGATATTCTACCACATGATCTGGTGAAGGAAGCCGCTTTGTATACTTCACCAATTCAACTCTTATTACAATGGAGAGTACTCACCGAAACTCCACATTTCTATCCCAACTCTGCAAAGATCAGCTCTTACTCAGACTTCTGGGCTTTCAAATACAGTCAAATGTTGAATAACAAAGCTGCTGTTTCAGTAAATTAGAGACTTCGCTTAGGTCAATGAAGGTTTCTCAGCATTTTTTAAAAAGTAGGAATTGCCTTGAACATAATCCAAGGACTTTTATAATGCAGCTGTATTCTCAACCAGTATACTTTTAATGTTTCCTGGTGCAAGACTGTAAATAAGTGTGGTCACTTTCTTTGAAGAGTGAAGCTTAGAACTGTGCCATGTATCATAAAGCAGTTGAAATAGACTTTAAACAGTTTAATACATGCTTGCATGCGCATTTGGAGTTCTAATAATACAATACAAACAAGACAGTTTCATTATAATTGATTTAATAATATTTTATTTTAAAGTGACAGTTTTTGACAGCTCTTTTCTTGGTGTTTCGTCTTCCTTTTGTAATACTCACGCTGAGAGTCCCGTTTCCTTGCTGGATCATTTTGCTTGGCATGACATCAAACCCGGTTCTCCCAGATTATATTTACATAAAGCCATATTTAACTGAACAGAGTATCGAAATGTAAGTTAAAAAAAGCAGAATGTGAGAGTGAGATCACAAGACAAAGTATTTCTATTAGAACATTACAAGAAGGGGAATCCTTTCCCCCACCTTCCCATCACTCCTCCACTTGCACCTGGCTGAATGACCTTGGGCAAGCCGTAGCTCTGACAAGAGCTGTTCTTGAAAAAGAGCAGTTTCTGTCAGAGTTCTCTCAGCCCCACCTACCTCACAGGGTGTCTGTTGTGGGGAGGGGAAGGGAAAGGAGTTTGTAAGCCGCTCTGAGACACCTTTAGGTAGTGAAGGGTGGGGTATAAATTCAATCTCTTCTTTTTCTTTCCCCCTCACCCTCTCAGTTGCACAGTCTCCCCCTTCTTGGCCTATCCGTACCTTTTAATTTTTTTAAAAGGTCTGTACGCTTAGATATTGTGTGTTCATAAGCAACCCCATAATAGCAACCATGATTGTGGTGTAGTCTGGAAAAAACTCAGATAGCTTTTTTTAGTTGTGATGGTTGCACAGGGCACATATCACTTTTTCAATTCTGTTTTTTTAATTCCCCATTTAAAAAAAGGCATTGGCACAAGTTTGTAAAAACATGTCTTGTATCAAGTTCAAGTTCAAAAAACCTTTATTAGGTATTAACAACTCTCGTGTCACTGGCTGGTGGCCACATTTGGATTTTGTGATCCTCACAGTGGGAACATCTTGGGAATTAGATACAGTGATATTTAGGAAGGAGAAACATTCCCTATGTCATTTACAGTGTATTCCTAATCAGAAGTCAAGTCTATGGGCTTAAAAAAGTCTCTGCTTAGTACTGCACTGTAAGAACAGTCTTTGTAGTTCAATTAGTAATATACTCTGGTTTCAGAAGATATGCCACAGAACAGCTTTTCTTTTGCTAGCTCTCTGTCAATCCTGTTCTTCCAAAAAGTGAGTCAGAATGGCATGAATCAATATGTAACCGTGATGTGCTTCAGAGCAAACAAACTCACTTCATAAATTTAGGTAGTGTCTGACTGTTGGATTCAGCTAATGAAACTTCAAAAGATAAAGAAAAAAATTGTAGGATGTCTCTTAAGAACCTCTCAGTTTTATAAACATAGATCTTTCCCATCTGCAAAGAGGTGGAAAGCAAAGCTGGACTACGATCGGTGTTCAAGTTCAATGTTGATAGGACAGGTTTTTGGTTGGTTAAGACTGGAGCAAGTTGCATTGCCAAATGCTTATTGCAATGTTGTCTTGACTGCTTTTTTCCAGTATCTCAGAAATCTTCAACAGTGTAGTAATGGGTATTCTCAATGCCTTTATTCATTCTAATTACTCAAAGAGAAACCATCCGACAGATTGAGAATTGTTTCAGTGCTAGATGTTTTGTGCAGTGTTGCTATGTGCCTCTAAAAATTTCAATCCAAACAGTTCAGGCTGTTTCCACTTTGGCCTTTTGGGGGGGGGGGGGGGGGGGGGGGGTTCGGGGAGACAAATGATCTGAGCATTCCTCAAGTTTTTGATGTCTGTCCTGGAAAACAACTAATGATCAAAATCTCAGTCATTCTATTTTGCGGTCAGTGAATAACCAGTGAATGAAATTCAAACCAATTATATTCCTGATGCAAACCATTTTTTACAGGCATCACATAACCATTTTAAAAGAATCTGATCTCTCGATGAGATCCTGAACCTAAAACGTAAATCTTCAGGTGCAAGTGAACTCTGATGGTAAATGAGACAAGTTAAAGCCTTCAGGGTTTTTGGTGGACTCGTGCACTGAAAATTCTGTCTTATGAATCCACCATTCAAGTTCTGCTACTGAACTTCCAAGGGGTACATGGCTGGCCACTTTTATAACTCAAAGGCCAGGGTAACAGTGCCACCCTAAGCAAAGTTTCAACTTTCTAACTCCATTGAGGTCAGTGGGCTCAGAAAGGTATGAAACTCATCTTAGGATGGCAAAGTAAGGATGGTTCAATACTTGTGGTGCAGTTACTGTCATTCATACATAAGCTCTGTTCTGACTATCAAATGAATGCCAGGAAGTTGGGGCAGGGACAGTACACATGATCTTACCCTTCCTTCATTGAAATAATGCTAAGAAGTACATCAAGAACCTCTTTCATATCTGTGCCTGTTTCAGCTGTCTGTGAATTTGACTGGCTGCCGTACCACCACAGAAGTAGTTCACCTCTTTCCACCTTGTTTAGTCTTTTAATGGAAATGTTGCGGTATTGTGAGGTCATGAAATCAACAGAAATGAGCAGCTGCTTAGAAATTAGGTTATTCTCACCTACATCTTGAAGCGGGAGAGTATAGAGATGGTATTAGTGGGAGGTTTGGCTGTGTGAGGGCCTGTAGGGGAAGCTAGGAAGGCTGACTTGTTGACAAAGATAGCTTTGGGGGGGGGGGTGAAACGGAAAAATTAGTTTTGGGGAAATGTGGGGGTGGATAATTTTTGCAAGAGAGTGAATTTACAAGGATTTTGGAATTAATTGGGGGGACATCTGGGTTTGGAAAGTGAACATGTGAGGACTCCTGGGAATTAATTTAGAGATTTGATATTCAGGGTTCAAACTCCACCTCGTGTCTTGTATTGTATTTCTGAGATTTGCACCAGTTGTGTCTGCCTCATGGAACTGTCTGCTTTAAAATGGATGGGGCAGCATGTGTCAGGGCCTCAGACCCCCCTACCTTTTACATGTACCACGTTTTTGGTCATGGGCAATTTACTTGTTTCCATCCTGCCCAGCATTTTGTTTTCAGAAGTGGCCAGCCAAATTACCCTGAGTAACCTTAGAAGCAGGACCAGGGGCAGCAACATCCCCCCTGTTTCTCATAACCATCACTTGATGTTTAGACTTACATTGCCCCTCAACATGGAGGTTCTGCTTAGCTGTCATGGTTGATAGGAAAGGCTTGGGTGGGCGGAGCAGAGGGAAGGTGTAATATGCGTAGTGGAAGAGGGTGGGTGGGGACATCTAGCAGCCCTGCTTTATAGAGGTACAAGTTTTACCACTGGCACCTTTGTGACATTCATCATCAGAAATTAGATGCCACTTCCTCTCCTGTCACTGAGTCAAACATAAAAAGCAGCTCAAGGAGGGAGAAACTCATTCTCCGTTTCAAAAATGTACTGATGTGAGAGCAGCCCTACAACCACTGACTTGTGGTTACATCTTCGTTCTGCCTGAATGTCAGTGGTGTAGATGCTCCTTTTGTCCCTTTCTGGTCAGGGATGAGTGCAGCTGTTAAACATGAAACCATGTGACTCATAGTCCCACCAATGCAATAATTACAGCATCAGTATCTTCATCTGGCCAAACCCCAGCATAGACTGGAAGCTTCCATTGACTGGCCTCCTGGTGGCCAAAACAATTTTTACACGTTCTCGTGCTTGTAGAAAAGTGGATTGCATTAATAGCCTTGCACTTCTGGTTGTAGCATTAAATACATACCTGGTGGTACCTGCGCTGGAACAATGTTGTACCATTTAGTACTGCTCTATTACTGATACTCCATCAGTAGCTACCAGTTATGGAGTTTTCTCTGTTGTCCCCTGACCTTCCTTTTGTTGATTCTGTATCTCTGTTCCATTGCATTGAAGTATCATGAAAGAATAAACACGCTGTCTAACCACTGAGTTAGAAATCTCGAATGGAATCAAATTGAATGCTGTTCTCAGAGAAATATCAGCATCTGCTCATCCGAGCCAACTGTTCATTGTTTCTTTCAGATTTTCTCAAGCAAGCCTCATTTGAAGCACAGGCCTTTTTAGAAGCCGTCCAGTTTTTCCGTCAGGAGAAGGGCCATTACGGGACTTGGGAGATGGTAACTGGCAATGAAATTCAGGTACTCTCCTTGATTTGGTTTTTATGTTGTAGCCTGCATAGTTCTGGTAACGATGGGGAAAGGTTGGAGGAACTTGGAACAGAAATAAGGAGCACCCCTTTTATGTATCCCCTGCCCGCCTATCTTCCCACATGCCCCCTTAACTTCTTCTCACACATCTCATCCTGTCAGCTCACTTGATTCCCAGCGGCATGCATCACACACAGAGATGTGGCACGGTGTGACATGTCTGGCCAGGAGCATGGGAGGTGGGAAGTTTGTAAGTGCATGGGTGGGGGAAGAGCAGGCAGGCAGGTGGTGAGAGACACAGAGTGTTAAGTGGTGGCAGTCGGCCCCACCACAAGTTCTGAGCTCCTCAGGCAATTCCCTCTTTAGTCAGGATCTGCCCTGATGTATGACTGAATTTGAGGTGTGAAGAAATGATTTATTAAACAAGAAATGATTTATTAAATAAATGTTACAGTAGTTAATGGGAGAAACATTATAAAAATGAGACAGAATTAATACAACAACACTGTAACTAAACAGAGTTAAACTCACCAAGAAAAAAGGTGGCCAGAAAACAACAAAGCTCCCTGATGCAACTGTCTGCTTAGTTCCTACTGTGTCTCAGTACTTGATCCCAGTAGGCCAGACTCACCCCACTCTGGGGTGAGGAAGTGACTACCTCCAAAACCAGCTCCACTGCTGCTAAGTCTCAGAGATTGTATCCCCTTTTTCTCTATGGGGGAATTTATATGCTCTTTGTTACAGTTCTGCCTCTGAACCGGTGTTTGGCTTTTGCTTTTCCCTCCATCTTTCTTCAGCCTAATCATAAGGTTTGGAGAGTACTTGGGAATTGCAGGCCTATTGGAAATTTAACACAAAGGCCTCAGGCCTCTGGAAGAGAGGCTTTCCTGGTAGGCTACCGGCTGCTCATTCTTCAAACTCTTCCCTCCCTCACATGCAGGATTTTGCCTTCTATCTTCTTTCTGGCTGAGCAGCCACTTTTCCTATTTGTTTATCTATGGCTGTCCCACCCAGTTGTATATATATAAAGGAGGAGAAAAGGTTAGATGGAATCAGGTGCAGGATGTATGAGGTGAACAGATAATAAATCTGAGGTAACTTTGTATTCACCCAAACACCAGAAAATGTTTTGCCAACAAATAATTGTTTCTGCTATTCAACAACATCTTTAAAACTTTGAAGAGGGAGGCTTTCTCTTCAGTTTCTGCGTAAACATTCAAGCCAAGGTTTCTGAGTTTCACTGACACATAAAGTTCAGAAGGCATACAACCAAGTGTTAGCCAAATTGCCTTGAATTATTAATTAGTCTAGGGAAAGTTATGATTATTAATTGACAATAGGCAAATTAGGGTTCACACCAATGTATACAGAAGTCCCACCTTTGCTGTAAGCACCAGAACAGACACAGAGACTGTATTCAGTTAAATATAATGTCTTTTTACTGGGGAATATATATATCATTCAAACAATATACAACCACACACACATTTATACATATGCTAAGAAATAAAGATAGATACTTAACACAGTTGCTTTAGCAGGGCATTCGTTGATTGGGCAATATTTACCTGTCTTCATTGATTGAGCTGTTCCAATGGAAGAATGGAGGGGTTTATAAATAGGAAATGGGGAACCGTGTCCTGAACCAGCAGAACCACGTGGACTCTAGCTGCAGATCTAGAGTTTAAAGATGGAGGTAGGGTATATAGATAGCAAGCTAGACATAAGAGGGTTAAAGCTTCGATGGGGGTCGTGGAGAGGGTAAGAGAGAGACCATGTGGTCGGGCAGCGTCTTTTATAATGTGGTGTGGGGGGGCTTGCTAGGCTGGCCACATCCCCCTGTGACACCTTCTGTTAGTCTGTCCCATAAAACATACTATTGGCTGGCTGGAAGAGGGGAGGGGGACTAAGGAGTGGTCAATATTGAGAACTAGAAACTTAGACTGAGGACTGGCACCTGGATGAAGGATGATTGAATCATCAGGCTAGAGCTATTGTCTCTTGATGGCCCTAGCCGGCTGGCTGATGGCTGAGCAATTAGTTGAACAGAGTCTCTTGATTAGAGTTGAACAGAGTCTCTTGATTAGAGTTGTAGGTAGCTGGAAGAGGGGGAAAAGGGGTTGCCTACATGTGCTGGAAGAAACTCCTAATGGCGTCTGGAGTTCTCTGTCCTTGTGCCTTTCCATGGCATGGCATCTGAGGCTGTATACAGGCTTATGGAACTGCTTCATCTCACAGCAGGTGAGATGTCTGGTTACTCTGGACTATCACTGTGGCAGCAACACTAAAGGAAGGTGTCCCTCTTTCAGGTGTGCAGTCTCAACAGGTATTCTCAGGTCTCCATGTTGTACAGTCCCTTTGCACAATTCATATTCCATAAAACACATTGATAGGCTTGCATGGCAACACAAATTCCCCAAATCCTTCTTTATACACAAATCAAGGATTTCTCCTCTTTTCTAGAAGCTATTTCCCTTCTTAACTGGGCAGGGATCACTTCTCTTTACTAGAAACTATTTCCATTTTTTGGCTTGAATGAAGATCCTCCTTGATCCACTCACTCTCTTAGCCTCCTTCCCAGTCCACTCATTGCTTAATTGACTCTTCTTCAACTGTCAGTTCCCAATTGTCATTCCTTAACTGACTCCCTCAACAGAATTCCATTGGAACAGCCTGTTGCGCCAAAGGCTCTCAGGCTCTGTTAGGCATTAACCCTTGACAGTCTGTCACACTATTGGAAGATTTACACAAAGGCCTCTGGAAGAGAGGTTTTCTTGCGGCCTATACGCTGCTCCTTCTTCAACCTTATGCCAGGGAAGGTGATGGGCTCTGACATTCGCTCAAGAAACCCATTGAAGGAAGAGCCTGAGATATGAAAAATGCTCTAATTTTGTCCAGGATGCCTGTATTTGGGATTTGTTCTCTTGGTAAAACATGGTGCTTCTCTCCCTCTCCTGTAAAAGCATTTCCATGCAGTGAATATAAACAAAATATTCTTGAAATTGTGGTTCTGTTTAATTGCCACCTGTTAGATGGCTGTGCCCATTCAGAAAAATGATTTAATGCAACATAATTAAAATGTTTAACATTTCCCTAATTCACCTGTCTACAAAACTCAAAACAAACCGAATGTATGAACAAAATACAAAGACAATCCCGTCTATATAATTCCAAAGTAACCTGTCTATCAGGAACAAAATACAAAGACAATCCCTATATAATTCCAAAGTAACCTGTCTATCTAAGCCTAAATCGGACTAATAAAAATATAAATTAAATCCACAAACAAATCTTTCAATGAATCTTTCTACAGCCAGTTAGGTTAGTAGCATGGACTCCAATCTAGGAGAACTCGGTTTGATTCCCCACTCCTCCACATGCAGCTGCTGGGTGACCTTGGGCAAGCCACAGTTTTCTCAGAGTTGTTCTCTCAAGAGCAGTTCTCTCAGAGCTCTCTCAGCCCCACCTACCTCACAGGATGTCTGTTGTGAGGAGAGGAAGGGAAGGAGATTGTAAGCTGCTCTGAGACTCCGAATGAAGGGTGGGGTATAAATCCAATCTCCTCCTCCTCTTCTCAGTATTGTTGAGCAAGCAATACTAAGATGTCATAGTGAGAAAAAGCAGAGGAGAAATGTAACTGGCTGCACTGACATTGGCCAGGAGCACAAGAGATCTCCTGAGGCATTTGAGGACCTCCCCCCCCTTCGGCCGCCATTGCCCAAACCATATTTTTAATTCCAAAGACCTAGTTTTTCATTGGCTGCAAGATGTAAAAAAAAATGTTGTGTGCTTTTCACGTCTTGAAAATACTTCTGTATGTTGCTGTTTAACAAGAAATATCTATAAAAAAAGGCAACATCCTCTTTGCATGTCAGGCAACAAAATGCATGCATTGGATGCATGAAAGTGTATAGGAACATGTTCACCTGCATCAAAAGTATTGTTTCCTTTATTATTTAAATCTTACTGCCTTTTTCAGAAGGGTTTTTAAAAACCCAGTTTATATGACTCCCACTCCCCAACCTATCCCAACCCACCCTGATGATGCGGGCTGTGGTATTTTTCCAAAAGAAAAATACCATAGTTAGAGCCTTGATGTTTCTAATTTTATTCGGTACAGATGAGTTACCAGCACCAATCTATCTATCACCTCCTGGGAAAGCTTGCTTGTGAGCAAGCAGTGGGCAGGAAAAGAGTGGGCAGGCAGATGGTACTTGTGGGCCTCACCAAAAGCCCTGGGCCCCCAGCAATTGCCCCACCTCAAAGCAGGCTGGCACTGGCCCTAATGGCCAGTAATATATTGCCATACATTACATAAAGATTGCAAAGATTGCAAAAGTATATTGCATGTGAAGCCCTGTGAATGCTTATAAATGCTGAATAAATGCTACCCAGCATTAACAATTATTATTATTCCCTCGTTTCACTGTTTTTCCCAGCTGTTAATATTGCGGCATGATGCATGGTACATATAATCAACATTATTTATAAAATTTTCTAATAAAGGGTTTTAAGTTCGTATTATAAGTTTTACGGCATTTGTACTTTCTGTTTAACACAACTGATATCTCTGTCTGTCTGTCTTCGACTTTTAGACCACCCTCCCCTGTACACAGGGCTGAGAGAGGTGAACAGTTCCATAAATACATTCATAGATCAAGTTTAAAACAATAAACAGATTGGATAGTAGGGATCCCAAGTCCCCCCGGGGGGTGGGGAAACCCCCGCCCCAGAGGCCTGTTCCCCGGTGCTGCCGGATCGGGCCCCGGGGGGAACTCCACCCCGACGTGTGCGTCACCCGGAAGTGACGGGAGGACGCCAGGCACGCTTGGGGCGGGGCCACGGCCATTCAAGGGAAAACTCTATGGTTTTCCCTTGTATGGCCGTGGCCCCGCCCCCAGCATGCCCGGCGTCCTCCCGTCACTTCCAGGTGACGTGCGTGCAGTGTGCGCAACGCGACAGAAACCGGACGGGAGCCCCCCGCTTCCGGCGAAGATCCACTTGGCAACCCTATAGAGCTATTACAGATGACACGTAAAAGAAGGCAGTTTTTATCCTTACCCTGTAGGGGAGAGGAAAGAAAGGAAGGAGCCAGGCTAGATGGGAGCCATTGCTGCTCTTAACCATAGGCCTGGTGGAACATCTCTGTTTTACAGGCCCTGTGGAACTGCACTAGGTCCCTCAGGGCACGGATGTTGTTCTGCAGAAAGTTCCCCCAGGTCGGAGCCAGGGTCAAAAAAGCCCTGGCTCTGGCTGAGGACAGCCAGATATACTTCCGGCCAGGGATCACCAATAGATTTTTCTCCCCTGAGTGTAATACTCTTGGAGGGTATACCAGGAGAGGTGGTTCTGAAGATATGTTGGTCCCAGACCGTTTAGGGCCTTGAAGGATTTGTAAGAGAATTAAAAACAAAACATTTTTTAAAAACAAAACAAAACGGTAACATTCCTTACAAGAGCTGACCTGTATATCCAGAAACACCACGGGTGCCATATGAGTTGAGGCAACTTTGGGTGTAGTTCTCATTCCTTCCACAATCTCTACAGGGATAATAGCATTGGCCAGTCGGACTCGACTGTGCGACTGAACAACAACAACTTTATAAAGGTTTTAATCTCGTGGATTTGTTTCACAAGCGGAGGTGCTTTCCTCTGATTGAAGAACCCTTCCCCTGATACAAGTCTTGCATCAGTGGAAGTCTCCATCAGAGGAAAGCATCTCCGCAATGGAACAGAGTCACAGTGGAACAGGTTCCAACTCAAAGTTTTTACAAGGGCCATTGAGATAACATATGGGTAGCATTTTTGAACTCTTGAAATGCACTGTGTAAATGCTAATCTTTGTTATTACTAATGCTAGAAATATTAGAATGCCAGAATGATTTCATCAGCGTTTGTTTCTTTTTTGGTATTTTGCCATCAAATCACTTATAAGAACAATTGTAGCCAGACTGTTTTCTTGTAGGGCTTTGAAAGCTAATCTTCTGATCCCATAGCTACACTTTTGTGTTTTGGATCCAGGGATGGTACAAGGTGCCTTGTAGAATCCAGCTTCCTAAAAGTGATACGACACATCTCAGGATTAAGGATAAAAGTGTATTACGAAACTTTTGCAGATTTTCACATTGACTTGACCATCTTACATGACTCATTAGTTGACTTGGCAGGCTCATAGCCCTTATCTCTCTTGAGAACTATAATAACAAAGTTTAGATGAATTTCATTATTATTTGCCGAGTAATATATTCAGAGCAGGCTCTTCTCGTATGGGTCTAGTATGTTCTCATCTTTGCTTTGACCAAAAATAATTTTTAGGCAGTGTTCCAGGTAAAGAGAGCAGTTTGCCATGGTCTGCATGCAAGTATTTCAGAAGGCTTTTCTTCAAAGCCTCAGAAGAATTCACATAAATGTCCAAGTTGCACATAAATGCCCCAGTCTTGCCAGAATGACCTTTAGCTTTTCCTGATCACCTTTGGTACAGGGGCTATCTATGAATAAAACTGTTCAGAGCACTTTCACACATGCTCAAGCAGAAGAAGGAGGAGGAGATTGGATTTATACCCCACCCTTCACTCAGAGTCTCAGAGCAGCTTACACACTCCTTTCCCTTCCTTCCCCGCAACAGACACCCTGTGAGGTAGGTGGGGCTGAGAGAGCTCAGAGAGAACTGCTCTTTCAAGAAAAGCTCTTGACAGAAGTATGGCTTGCCCAAGGTCATCTAGCAGCTGCATGTTGAGGAGTGCACTTAGCCACTACACCAAACTGGCTCTCACTACCAAACTGGCTCTTGACCATTTGCAAGCAGATTTTGCCATTTCACATGGTAAAATCCAGTTGCAGAGTGGATTGAAAGTGCATTGTGTAATTCGTGTGAAAGCGTCCCCATAGTCTCTTTGACTGGAGGCAGATGATAATTTTCAGAGAGCTGAAACTGATAAAGCTGATAGAGCAGTAGTTCACTCTGTGGTCTGCTGAAGAACCCCTGCATGCCTGTGCTTTATAGAGGTTTCTCAGAAATGCTGGGGATGCTTAGGGTTCTCACAGGGCATTTTTGTTGGGCTGTACATGGCACACTTCCCAATGGCTGTACATGGCACAGGAAGATCTCTAGAAGGCAAAAAGTTGCTTCTCAGGAAGCCTTATCCACTGTACACAATAGTTTCAAGAATGCAGAGTACTCTGGTTAATTCAGAAGCTGCAAAATCCATGCTTGTTTATTGGCCTGGTCAATTAAAAATTGCCTGCTACACACGGAGCTTTTCTGGTTCTCTCATCTACTTCACATCCTACCCTTTCCACAAGAAAGGTCGAGTTACATGACTGGAAGCCGTGCAGTAGTGTGGCACATTTTACAACTCTGATCTGCCGTACTGGAAATTTAGATTTGGGGTGGAAAACCACATTGTGTGGAGATTTGTAGCAGCTACAATACATTATGGCCATACTGGAAGTTTTTCAGATGCTTTAAGATCTGAATGCAGCCTCCAAGTCGCAAAATACCTGTAGCATCTTATTAACGAACTATTCGTCAGTGACATCTGGCTGATGAGATTAACTTGAACTATTCGTCAGTGACATCTGGCTGATGTATACGTGCATGTTCGTCATCTGCTAAACTTTGATAGTTGATAACACTTTAAATTCTGTTTTTAGTAGCGCTTTGCTGTTGACTTTTTATGCTACAATGATTGGCTTTGTTAATTGTTATTTTATTGTTTTTATGTACTTTCTTTGCTGCCGTGGGAGCTGGGAAAATCTCTGAAATAAAATAAAAGGCTTGTGTCTTTTGGAATTAAGATTTTTCCCTGCATTTCTCAGCTCCACTTACAAACAAGAGAGGAACGGGCATTTTCATCCCTTTCCCACTTATCACGGCAGCCCCTCAACCCACTTAGCTGAGCACTCACCTGAGTTCTGCAACCTCAGGAATCCTTTTCTGGCGCGTGAAAGGGACTGCAGTTGGTGAGAGTAATGCAGGTTAGAATTCAGTTGGCATTTCATAGGATAACGAGCTAATATAGAATAAACTGAGGGTTGCTGTGTCAGCTGATGATGGGCATGATGTAAATGTTCATTACGGATCTCACACACTACATAGAAAAGTTCTGTCCGGTCAAGTAAACAATGTTCAGCTATATGTTTATGGAGCTGAAAAGAAAATTCCATTGTCCCCTTGTAGATTCTCAGCAACCTTGTGATGGAGGAGCTCTTACCTAGCCTCCAGAGCATGCTGCTTCCTAAAATGAAAGGCAAGAGGAATGACAGAAAGAGGGCGTGGTTTGGGGTGAGTATTGTTTTGAGTGTGTGTGTGTGCACGCGCGCCCTGGTTTTATAAGCAGTAGGAAGTTGTAGGGTAGCTTTTTGTAGGCTGAGATTACTAGAGGTTTATGATGGAGTGTGTGGTTTTTTGTTTGTAATAAGCTCTTTACACACTGAGCAGAGGGAAACGAGCAGGCATGCATTGCAGTCTCACAAGCAATACTACTACTGAAACAGCATCAGTTCCCTAAGGGTGCCAGTATACCCTGGCAGCTCCCCAAGGCTGTTTCCTGGAAGCATCAGGAAGCTGCAAAACTCAGGACCCCTTTCTATTGCTGTATTCAAAACTGTCTCTTTCAGCAGCAATCAAGCGGGGAGTAGGGGGGAAAGTGTGATGATTTGGTATAGATTCCAGCCATCAGTCAAGCACTTTCAGCCGCCAAGCTCTACCAAAGTCTACAGTGGCAGTAATTTTGCTTATTGAATGAGCGCGCTTGCATATACAGTTGGCCATTAGCTACATCCCTGCTTTGTATCATTACAGATAGTAGAAGACACCTACCGGTTGGTCCAAGAGGAGGTTTCAGAAGGATTAGGTGTCCTGAAAGAGGAATGCAGAGAGGCTACCAAGGGGCTTGAAGGAACTATTTGTTCAGACGTGGATCAGATTGTGAACTCCAAGAATTTTTTAGCTGGGAAAATAAAAGGTACATTGAATATTCAAGGGGTGGATCCTATTTAGGGTGAGCAGAGCTGTGCTAATTGAAAGGGAACTTTTCTGCCTCCCGTTGCAGCCTGCTGTACCACCTGAAATCGTGTCCTCGGGGATTCAGTGGACCCCAGGAACAATGCAGGGTTAAAAGAGGTGGTATGCAGTGGGAGAGGGAATCAGCTGAATCACAGGACTGAAAAAAGTCTCATGATACATAATCTTGAACATCTGCAAATGAATTCCAATGTGGAATAAATTTTGCTCATCTCAATTTGAAATGATTACTTCTTCTCATGCCATTTCTAATTCTTAAAAGGTAAGTAACAATATTATCTCAACTACCTTATAGCTTTCCACAGCACCTCTGATTATGTGGTATCTCTTGGGTGGTGGTCTTCCTCAGTGTTGCTGATATGACACAGTAGGGTATTATTTCAATTGCTGCACCTAAACAACTCCACAGAACCCTTTAGAGCAATTTTGTGCACAGAAAGTCCACCCGAAATATTTAATTGTGGAAACTCTGGTTCAGTCTCATTTAGGATGATTGGCACCACTAGAGGTTAGGGTTCTTGTGCCTTTAAAGATAACTTTTATAACATTAAAAACACTGAACTAATTAATAGTGTGTTGTCATCTTATACATTAAGGCAAATTAATCAGTGGCTCCCCAGTCTTTGCTTAATGGAGCAACAAGAGAAAAATGGGACAGGGGAAGATGGCACAACATTATAGAGTTTTGGGGAAAATCTCTAGAGCATTGTGCAGCCTCTCTATCCCCCAAATGCTTCTGTTTCCCCTTGCCATACTTTCCCTGGCTGACAGTGCTGGTCCCAATCATTGGTCCCTCTAAGCTGTGGGGTCTTGTGAGCAACAATTCTGTTTTGTGAGCTACTGACCTTAAAGTTGTGAGCCGAGCGATTTGGCTACTGCATAAATTAGTTCACTCTGGAGCCATCCTTCCTGAGTGAAGACAAAAATGTGTGAGCTGGAGGCTAAAAAGCTGTGAGCTGGCTCACACTATCTCAGCTTAGAGGGAACATTGGTCCCAATACAATTGTCCACCTATTCCACTGCACTGGGGTTCCCCAGTGGGGAATTTAAAGGAGAGCTGGATTTGAGGGGACAGAATGTAGGCCTGAGTATAAAAGAGGAGGAGGAGGAGGAGATTGGATTTATACCCTGCCCTTCCCTACCTGAAGGAGTCTCGGAGCAGTTTACCCTCTCCTTTCCCTTCCCCTCCCCACAACAGACACCCTGTGAGGTAGGTGGGGCTGAGGGAGCTCTTTCAAGGACTGCTTATGAGAGAACAGCTCTGAAATAACTTGTGACTGACCCAAGGTCACACCAGCAGCTGCATGTGGAGAAGTGGGGAATCAAACCCGGTTCTCTTAGATTAGACTCTGTGCTCCTACCCACTGCACCAAACTGGCATGTGATGGTTTGCTTTGTAAAGTGAACAAAAATAAAGCTTAGTTTGAGGGAGTGGGGACCCCCATGCAACTGAGGTAAATATTAACACTTAGCCAGGAGTTGTAGGAGGTTTTACTCAGTACGTGCCTCAAGAATACTGTACCTGGAGCAACTTTATAACATATCAGCAAAGCACTCTGCTCAGGGCCAGATTAAGGTCAACTGATGCCCTAAGCACAGTCCGGCAGTGGTGCCCCTTGGCCCTGCCATTGCTTAATTGACAAGACATTAAGACTCAATAAGTGCTTAAGGTGAAATAAGAGATTAAAAATTCAGTTTTCTCCCAGGCCAGACCCCACAACTATGTTAAATATAACCTTAACACTAAATAGCAGTAAGCAGTAGAAGCAGAAAACCCCAACAATCCTCTGTGGTGCCCCGCTTCCCTTGGTGCCCTAAGCAGGTGCTTATTTTGGTTAATGGTTAATCCAGGGCTGACTGCTGCAACTAAATTAGGCAGAACCCTGCTGGCTCAACACTGTAATACCTCAGTACACTCCGTTCCCTTCACAGGGAAACTTAAAAGATCTAATATCTCCTCAGATGTTTTATTTAGAGTCCTATTAAGACTGTTTTCTCTCAAGCCTCAAAACCTAAGTCTTGACTCACAACCTGCCTGTCAGATCTTAACTTATCCCAGTACAGCTCCTAGTGGCTAACTCCGAGCATTGCTTTGATTGGTGGCTGTGTTTGTGGGGAACATTTCTGTGCCCTGCCTGTCACAGCATTGCGATATGTGGTTTCTTCCCTCTACTCTGGAAAGGTGAAGGCCCCCCCCCAGCTATTTTCAGTAAAGGTTATGCTGTTCCATTGTTGTTTGGTGCATAAGAGTCCCTCTGCCTTGCATTTTACCACAAATTGTGTATGTATACTTACACACATCAATTAGGATTCCCAGTCTAACAACTGGGTTGTGGTGGGTGTGGTTGCATCACTCCTGAAAATGGAATGTGGTGTCGACTTTTGAAGCTTCTCATAGTAGCTATTGCCTCATTCTTGTTGGAAAATTCATTTGAATTGTAATACAGTTTCCATAGTGTTTCTTAGAAGTACCCTTTATTTTAAAAGCAACACCTTCAAGATTAGATACACAAGGATACAAGATGCTATTTATCTTGGGGCTTGATGACGTGAGCATGCATAGGGTGGTGGGTTTTTTTGCTTTGATCACCTATGAGTCACCATTTGGAAGATCGCAAAGTGTCCACTTTTAAAATAGAGTTGGTTCACTAGAAGAATAATGGCTACCGTTCTGTAGGCTAATTTAAATCCAATAAAAGTCAATGGGAGTTCAACAGGACTACAACCCTTATCTTGGCCTGTTCTGTTGTAACATATTCTGCAGAAACAACATATATAACAAAATGTATGTAAGAAACAACAATTTTGGTTTCTAGCTTCTTTTCACTTCCAAGTTAAAAAAAAAAAGATTATTTTCTTGCAGTAAAAACTTTCCAGTTGAATTAACAAGTTACACTACATTTACTATTTCCATCTCTCCAGAACGTTTTCAAGAATTACATTTATTAGACTATTATTATAGGAACATCAGTACAGGAAAATTTAAAAAAAATGTGGTGTTTATCACAACCCATCTTTCCACTTGAAAAATTCAGTTGGAACAAAGACATTGTGATGTTATGTTACACTAGTGTAAATCCTTCTAAGTGGACAGTGTGTAAATGAAGGGAAGGCCTCTATAGCACAGGCCACATGGAAGTGTGAATGTGAGTGTAAAGCACCCTTCTACTCCGAGCTCACAATGATGCCTCATGTTTCTGTCATGGGACCCCGTTACTGTAGAGTGGGCATTACTTAATTATTTTAGAAAATTGTGCTGTCCCTTCTTAAATTTGCCCCAGGTAGCTCACAATTTTTAAAATGGTAAAACAACTGTGTTATCAAATAGAAACACCCCTCTGATGAGCAAAAACGGTAAAAAGACTGGAATGTGAACAACTGTTGACACTGGCTGTTTCTACACAGGATATTTCCTCCCTGCAGGGAATGCAGCATGGCCCTACATTTTTGTGGGGGAACATGTATAACACATTGTGCTCATTCTGAGCATGACTGGTGGAGCTCCCAGGGCTTTCTCCTTTAAACTGGGTCAAATGAAAGCTCCTTTGATCTGATTCAAAAGAAGAAATGTGAGGCAGCTGCAGGCAAAGTGACTATGTGGACTTCTCCATCTGAAGCCAATATGGGAAAGGGAAGCAGAGCTAAACTTTGCCTTCAAAATAGAAGAGTTAAGCTCTGCACCTCCCCACCCACCCACTAGCCATTTAGGACTTTTTCTGTTCCTAGCTGATCTGTGGTGTACTGTGGGTTGCCAACCTCCAAGTTGGTAGCTGGAGATCTCCCACCATTAGAACTGATCTCCAGGCAACAGAGATCAGTTCAACTGGAGAAAATGGTCACTTTGGAAGGTGGACTCTATGGCATTATACCTCATTGAAGTCTCTCCCCTCCCCAAACCCTTCCCTCCTCAGGTTCCACCCTCTAAATCTCCAGGCATTCCCCAGCTTGGAGCTGGCAAACTGAGATGTAGCTTTAACTGTAGCCACGGTGACACAAAAAGGGGTGGTACCCCATCAATTATTTGCCATGCCCTTCCAATCTTCTAACAATTTAAGGAATTTGATGAATCAACATAGACCTTATATAACTTAATATCAAATAAAGCTCCAAGATATTCAAACTCTTAAACTAGAAGCTAGAACAGAATTAGCAGTTAACAAGGCTGAAGAGTCCTGATTTTAAAAGCCTGATTTTTAGAAGTGTTGGGTGGCACCGTTAGAAGCCTCGAGTTAGTGATCTACAGAGAAAAGAAGGTTGAATTTACAGTTTCAGGTTTCAGTAACTGGAAGAAGGCTCTCACACTTCTTTAATTCTGCAAACTATGGCCCCGGTCACACGGGCCGGATATCGCGGGGGGGG